GATATATATCATGACTCTTTTACATCGAGTAAAAGTAACCGGTACCTAAAGCTGATCACGAGAAATTTCCAGTCGGAATAGTGCTATCTGGAATATTCCAGTAGTAACATTTGAAGCTTTCCATCCTAGTTTTTCGGGACTTGATATACTAGCAGATAGAGGGTTTTCTGCTCACTTGACTGATCCGTAATTAGCGAAAAACTTTTTTATCTCATTATGGTAACCTAAACGAAAACAATATTGCAGGTTGCGGTAGAGATCAGTGGGATATTTTTGGCTGGTGTACTGCATGGCCTTTACTGCTGATCCTTTTGCTTCTACTCTTGTTATTGTTTCTTTTATGCTGGATATTACATTGTTGTTGCAAGCTATGTATAGCTCCATGCCAAGTAAGAAAGGAAAAGGATGAAGAGGAAGAGTATGTGTTAATTGATTGATTTTCAAAAGGGAGTCCTCCTTGACCACTTAAGTTCCAGAGAACTCAAGAAAGACCCTCCGATTCCTGCTCCCAAGAAAACGTTCATGCCGAACTTGGACATCCTGGATACGAAAGGTGGTACTCATAGTTTCTAATACTCTAGTATGTTTTTAAGCGAGAGATTTATTACCTAAATTAAACTTACTAACCGATTGCTCCTACTTGAAATGTTCTTAGGAAGGCACTGCATAGTGAAGGCTTCGGTGCTCTTCGAGTAGATTTGCTTTAGTAGGTAGAGATCAGAGGAGCGTATGGCTCTTCGAGTAGTGGCGAGACGTCACCCTGATTGTTAGCGCACGGAACAGGGCGTTCAGACCTAATGGTACACACGTGGAACGTTCGTTCCGCGCGTCCGTTGGAACTAGATCATCCCGCCCACTTCGAGCGCGGCGCACCCCAGTGAGGTCTCGAGGTGACATTACGGTACTACCAAGTGTCAGTGGAGCGAATGATTTCCACTAGTCCGCGTTTTCTTCTCTTTGAGCTGACTGCCGTGGACCAAGCGTAAATCGCATGCCCACTGACAGCTGCGACGTCCGTCAAGTATCGCTACTGACGCGTCGCATGCAACGGCTGCGGCGTGACCTAGTTTCGACGGACGCGCGCAACGAAGCGCACCCGGTACACACAGTGGATGTATAAGTGTAGCTTTTACACATATCACTTCTAGAGGCTTTTTTTTTAAGTGCTCTTAAAATCTGTCTTACTTAAAAGTATAGCTATCATTTCAGTACATAAACTCAATCCATATGAGGATGAGAAATCGGCAACGATTCTGCCACCACCAGCAACAGTCTCTCAACCAGGTTACTGCATTACACCTTCACTTTTCACTTTATTATCCTACATGCATAACTAGGTTGGCAGATACGTCAGGGAATAGTTTACAAGTTTACCAGTAAGCGTGTTCCCGAACTATGATACCGCAAAAGAATTAGTTAAAGACACACAAAGGAGAGCTGTCCGAAGTTTAGTAGTTTTCCAACACCTCACAGAAACTCAAATTCGAACAAAGGGTGTACTTCTAAATTACTCATGAAATTTTGTTGTCAGAATCGATTTCATTTGATTTTCAAATTTTAGCAGATAGAAGCTAATTAAAGCTACTCTCTCAATTGAAACTTAGGGTTGGAGCTTTTGGTGAAACATTGGTACGGTAACTTGTATTACTTGCCAAAATCACACTGATAGTGGGAATTCTCCGACTGGGATACCGAAACCCGCTGACACGCCAGACCTCCAATTCCTTTGAGCTTAAATTATGAGGTGTTAAGGTTAAAGTTAAGGTTTAGTTTTTTTTCTATTCTTAATGAATCCAACTACGTGTTTATTTATTCCTTCAAGTGAAATTTCTTTATATCTTTTATTCTTAGTGTTCGTCCCTATACCTACGAAAGAGCCAAAAGAACCGGAGAAAGAGATAGTAGTGGAGGAAAAGATTGTATATCTTGATCCGCCAAGGCCTGAAACACATGACATCGGTGAGTTGCTAAAATGATTTACATGTAAAACAAAATAGGGTTTTAAATAAGAAATAGGGTCACGTGTATTACCTGTCGTCCCGTTGGTCATCGATTTTCTTGAGTGGGCGGCAGTAAGGTATCCATTCGTCCCAGAAAAAATAGGGTAATAATGAACTCTAAGCAGGAACTAGCCGTTCCTTCCAATTGTAGGTCTTACTCAATACAGAAAAAGTGAAGATGGTGTAGTCCTGAATCGGAGCATTTAGCCAGCCCCCCCCCCCTTCCCTAATGGTATTTCTAACTGGTTTCTATCAAGCATAACAAGACCTTTATTGAAATTAATCAATAATTTCCTGTTTCAGGAGTAAATACAGAGCCATTTTCGCCTCTACTACGTAAAGGTAACGCGATGAAAGGTGATGATGAACTGGACAACGACAATAAGGAGACGAAAAG